TCTTGTAAATTAGCGCACTTTCATTTACACCCCCTGTAGCCTAGGGCACCCCCCTAGCGTCATTTGCCCAACAATGGGACTTTTAGGACCTAGCCCACGCGAGTTAGATTCCGCCTGACGTTAAATAGTAATAAATAAATAAATAAATATATAATATATATTAAATAATAAGTAAATATTTTATTTACTATTATATTTTTACTAGGTCTTATATACTACTATTTAACGTTTATTTCCGATCGTAAGCGATTACTATCTTCTATAATATAGTAGTACGAATATAATAGTAATAGTAGTAGTTTTTAATGTTTTCGCTTTACTCTCGCTTAATTGTTCTCACCTTGTTTACATTCACTTAACATAGAAACTGCTAGAACAGGCAAACGACAGTCGGAACTTGTAACTTCCGATCAGGCGTACTAACTTTCAAATTGATTTTACCTGCAAACTTTTCTTTTATAGTATTGTCAAACTGCGCAAGTCAACCACAACCACGACCATGGATTCCTTGCCACAAGAGGTCATCAACAGAATCGCAAGATTCCTGCCTGACGCAATCCCTGAGCCAGAAAGCTACCCATACTACTACCCATCCCATAGTGGAGGCGTGTATTACTCAGTCCCTCATTGGAACCAAGCAGGACTGTATGATTGGCACCAACAAGAACCCCGCACCCAACTGGCGAGCTACTCAGTCACCTCAACAGCATGGCGTTACGCAGTTGAGGAGGTCATCTACGAAGAAAAAGAGATTAGCATAGATAGTGATGAATTTGCGACTTTTTGCGACGTCTTCCGACCAAGCCAACGTCACAAATCTTTGAAGAAACTTACATTCGCCATCAGATTTCCACGATTTACTCCACGATTTACTCCACGTTTCATCAGGGACAGAAAGGAAGCGACCGCTACAGTAGCAATGGAAAGACTCTTTCGTGTGTTGAAGTCATGGGAGAGCGATATGGTGGGAGAGGGCATGACCCTGCTTGTTGGATGCTTAGCATTTGACCATGAGGAAGAGGACCCTAAGACCCATTCGTACATTGAGTGCGATTGGCACATTGAGGATGGTGTATACCTTCAAACTACAAGTCTCCCAATCCTGAACCATGTCACTTCCTTTCAACTGTTCAACAATACCTTTGAGTTGTTTGAGATGGGCGGGGCGGCTAGGTTATCTACAAAACTTCCCAATCTGACGGACCTTAACATGAGGCTCTTTGACAATGAGCTCAAATGCTGGTCCTCCCGTCGAAGCAGCCGCCATGAGTTCGCCAGGGTATTCTCAAACACCACATTTCCCCAATTGAAGACAGTATTCCTGGACCTCTGTACCGACATCCACAAAGATCATACTAAGCGACCTCCAAATCTGTTGGATCAACATACTTCGAACGACCAACAAGATCCTGTCAGCAAATCAATCTTCATGTGCTTGTCCCAGAGTCAAAACCTTACGTCTATGAAGATCAAAGGCGTGTTTAATTTCTCCTTGTGGTGGCCCCTATCATGCGACGACTCTTCCAGCACCCCCTTCCCGTGTCTCAAAGAAGTGGAGGTAGTTTTCGACCTAACGATGCCCAGTGGAAAATGGTACTTCGTCGGCGAGGATGGAAAAGATGAGTGTGAGGAAAAGGAGCTGGCGAAGCTACGTATTGAGAATTTGAACTTTCGCGAACTGGTTGAACCATCTTGTCTGAACCCTTTCATCCTTGCTTTTGCAAAGAGATTGGCTCAGCTTCCTGCCCTCCGTCGAGCGATTTTGACGACGGGCGTTCAAGGAGGTGGTGATGTCCATGTATACGAATTCGAGATTTGCTATTTCGCGCCAGGCGAGTCTGCAGTTCACTGCACGGAATTCCAAGAAGGTGATCATCTTTGGGCATCAGAAGAGGAATCGGACGACGAAGAACCAGATGATGAGGATTGTCGACGGCTCTACCTGTGTACTACTGAGTTCGGAATGAAGGACTGGAGGCCCAATCACGAGGCAATGGAATATTTTGAAGAGGTTGGAAGAAGAGAGTACGGAGGAGAATTGATAATCAAAGAGTTTCAACGCTTGCCTTTCTTGTATGGCCGCTATAGCTAGACGTCCTCGCCAAGCTGTACATATGATTGCGCAGAGTTTTGAGAAAATTTCGGGGCTTCTTCTATTGGAGAGTTAGTTGAAGGATGTCTGTTGGCCAGTTGCAGTTTTATACAGCTTTCGCTGTCGGTGGGGGATGAACTTTTGATTGTTCTTGTTACATTAAGCAGAAACACAGAATTCGGAAATTGATAGATGTTCAACACATCAGTTTGCATTCTCGAAAGAATCCGTAGACTTGGATACCCGTGATTTCCATAACACATTCACAACAGCTGTTCTAATTTAACAGTCTCCAGGCTCAAAGCACCTCTTTCCCATAATGAATTGAAAAGTGTTAAGAATAAGTAATTGGCATGTTTCCAGGCAACGCATCAAGCCCTAAAATCCTGCATCAGCATAACTCCCACGTAAAAACACTTAACATAAAAGAACTCACATTCGTCAAGCGGCTCAACAGCAACTTGTCTCTGACTACACTGATTCGCCACTTTCTGGCTCTGCGTTTTCAAATGGGGACACCCCTCAGGTGGGAAAATAAGAGGTTCGGGACTAGCATCATAAACATCACATCTAGCATCCATAGCCTTCTGCAATCCATCGCCCTTCCAACCGAACACATAATCGGCGTGGTGCCCGTATCCTGTGGGGTCTCCTTGACTGAACACAAAAGGTTGACTGCCGTCTTCTGGCCAAAGAGACTTGTCGAACTTCTCGGTATCCCAGATGGTTTCGATGAATACTTGGGGAATCTCAACAGGGTGGGTTGCTGGACATGGTGCGCCACGGTCTGGGTAGGCGACATGGCTTTTATGATCTGGGGTGTCTAGGTCGACTCCGTTCCAGCAACTATTTTGAATGGCTATCAGCAAGAGTGTATGAATAAAAGTCTTGACTGCTAACTTACGTTGGGAAAAATGTATTTACCCGGATACCACCGCCACAAAAGGACTTGGGCAGCTCAGTAGTATCCGTAGCGGCGATACCCATAGGATTCGGCTTGAAAAACATATTCTCATCATAACTGTCGTAACACCTGTAAAGGTTCACAAAACCAGATTCTGGCTTACGATTCTCCGCTGTGCCAGCGAGCATACGGAACCCCTATATTGGTCTTTGAGTAAGTGTTTCCATATTCGGGGGTGACAAGCAACCCACGGGTCTGAAAGCAGTAATTGGCGAAGTAGTGTTATCTGGGCTAATGTAGTAAACCGTCATGCCACCTTCTGCTTGGGCAAGATTCTGATTTGCAATCTGAGGGACACGTTTGAATGTCCCGTTTCGAGCACGGAAATACAAGACCGCAGTCCAATAATTCGAGAAATCTTCCGAAAAGGTGCAGGTTGTGCAAGTGGCCGTCTCGCCTATATCATTTGAAGGATCCATTGTGGTGTTAAAGGCATTCTATAATTGTTAGATTGATATATTTCGTGACCTCGAGGCTTCTAGAGTTCCACATACCCCTCCTACAATCTGTATTGCTTCAATTAGCACTTGTCAAACTTACGGCGGTGATACCAAATACCTGATGCATATGAGGACTTGGATTCTTCCCTGGGTTAACCAGACTAAATTCCGCAACTCAATGAATGTCCCAAGACTTCAGGCCAGAGATACTCACGGATCAAGCCTCTCGGTAACCAGTTGTGAACACGCAAATCTGAGCGTATGTATCGCCTCAGCATTTCGAGCCACCAGCACCAAGGCTATCAATGAAGACCACAGCATGTTGAAATATCTAGCAAATGGAATCGATATCTAAATTGTAAGTATGTCGCAAATATCCTCAAAACAATGCGTGATAGGGAATTCCAGCAACAAAAATCCAGACAGCACAAATCTCGCAAGTGAAATCCTACGGTCCTACCTTTAGAAAAACGCTGGGAGCAAGAGCCATTATACCACCCACCCACACAAACCCCTCCCCAAGCATCCATTCCTGCAAATGAGTTCTCCCAAAACCAAGATCCCATCTCCTCCAGTAAAACAAATCAAACACAAATATCTCCATGCAATCCATCACCAACTCCCCATCTGCCGCTCCTCATCCCCCAAGCCCAATTTCAAGATACTTTGCAACTCCACCATTTCGAGTAACAACTCCTCCCCTCTCTCGCTACAAACAAATTAACACTATGGCTATCAACACAAACGACAATTTTGCCAAAATCCCATACTCGTGCCATCACCCCGATAGGCAGGGATACTTTCGCCTGGCAGAATAGTTCTGCAGTCGGATATCCTCCGAACCGTAAACCAAGTTCACAGCAAAGACAAGATGCCGTGATTGTCTTTGGGGCTGTGGTGTTGGATGATCGATTATCCGGCATTCCGTTCTTGTTTGTTCGTCCTCGGGTGCTCGGAGAGCGTACCAGGGATCGGAGTCTTCAGAGTCCAGAATAATGGCTAAGTGACGGGATTGCATGTATGTCGTACCATGGTGAGGCATTGGGGTGGAAGAATCCCGACGGCTCCCCTATTTATTTTGAGTGCCGGCTGGACACCAAGTACTATAGTAAGTACCATTGCATAAACCTTCTGTAACCTATAAACACAATATCTTGATTGCTAGACCGAGACTAAAAATAACCCCCAAAGACACAATACCCACGACAACATCTTTTTCCCCTCATCGTGAGAGGCGTCAAAAACAATGCTGCAGCTCTTCCAAAATATATGTGATTGAATAACCGTTCAATTAATTACAAAGTAGTTCATATGCCCAGTAGTAACTTTTTCTCCCTTAGCCCATATGTGTAATGCTCCTTCCCAATGCGCCGACGCTAAAGCAATTTACGAGCCTACCCGCTATCGTAGTAGTAAGAGATAAAGAAAGGTTACTCGATACTCATCTTCATCAAACCGTCATTGGTATCAACCATTCCCTGGAACCCAACTCGTTTTAGAGTACCATTAGTGCCAGACTTTGAGTCTCCGTTACTGGAAGGGCGGGATCCCCAAAGATCTCTCTGCATTGGGCTTTGCATGACTGGGCTATTGTGCGCACTCATTCCCGGACTGACTGCTCTTCGTTTGAAACTTGACGGATCAAGATCATCATCTCTACGGCGCTTCCTATTCATCTTTTGTGTCATTTCTGTATGTGTAGGTTGAGGTGTTGAGGATCTAGAAGGAGATGAGTGACGACGATCGCTGCCTCCGAAAATGGGTGGCGTAGGAGAGTCCAACAAAATGTCCTCACTTATACCGGAGGAAGATGGTCGTGGAAGAAATGGTGGTGGGGTACGATTCTTTTCATCTGCAAATGTGTCCCAATAATCCTTTCCTTTCGAGTTGCGCATCGCATGTTGTTTAAAGCTACTCGAGAGTGTCGACGATACATCCGCCATTATGTCATCTTCTGGTATACCCTCCAGCGAATCTTGACTAGGACCTAAAATTGGAGAAGATTGTGTAGTTGTGTTCGCAGATACTGAGTTGCGTCGTATAGGTTCTAGATCCATATCGCTTTCTCGGGTTTGACGTACCACTTCAGCCTCTCGGCGAACTTCAGTTTCGACAGGTGCGGTTTCTTCAGCGAGGGCCGCTGCAATTCGAGCAAAGTTCTTCGTCTTGGGCTATAAGATAGTAGGTTAGCAGTTAGGCATGATAGCGGGGACTATGATGTTGCTTACCAGCATGTTACCCCTCCTAGTAACGGCTCTGCGAATGACCCCCACACGATTTGGAGTGACAGGGGCAGGTAAACTATCTGGGTTTTCCAATGTAGACTTCAAGCCATCATCGCTTTCATTGCCAGATATATGCAGCTGGGTTGCTGCCCAACTTATACTGTCTCTCCTCGAATGCATGCCGTCTGCGGTTGTGTCGCGCCCAATAAAATTATTGCCCATGCTATCGATACTCCGAGTGGTGGGAGGCGACTTGGAGATGGAGTTTGCCATCGAGTTTCCACTCGAGTTGCCATTTCCACTCATAGAGCCCTTTCTGTTCTTGCCATGGCGTAATGTTCGGCGCTGGAAATTCATAAGGCTGCTAACTGCGGGCGATTGTCCAAGCCATCCACTTCCTGGACTTGGTTGTACAGGTGCACCAAAGGGGGCGCTCATCCTCCCGATCTGCGGTGTGGTAAGAATAGAGTCATCGATATCATCGGCATCCATAAGGTCTTCGTCGTCCGAGCTATTGCTGGATGAATCGGTGCACATCATGTTCACGCTTCCTAACGAACTCGAGATGCCGGGGCGGTCTGTATTAGCCATAGTCGACCACAGAGAACTCAAATGGAGTGAATCCGGTCCATTCATAAAATTATGTCCATTCTTTCTATTAGGTATGTTCATCGCACGGCCAGAAATGGTGGGTGAGGAATCGGGGGAGGACTGTTCCGCCAAGGTAGAATGATGCAGGTTCGTTGCTGCTCTCGAGAAATCCAGACCGCGAGAGCGACGGGGAAGGACGCTTGTAGGAGAACCAAATGTTTGCGAGTGATCGAGTTTAGGAGAGAGGGGCACACGATTCACATACGCCGACGTGTTTGGAGACATCAAATCGCGTGCGGGCATCTGCAACGAAAGGCCGCGCACTGGAAAGGCCGGTCGTCGAGGCGTCGTCGGACTGTTTGTGAGCAAAGCACTGTCATCCTTCGATGTCCTCTTGTCTGGTTCACGGAATTTGGGCGATGGCGACAACGCAGGAGGCTCTTGGTCAGAAAGCGACAGAGAGCGACCTTTGGAGGAGGATCTCGATGTTGGCCGGCACTCTGTGATTCCCAACAAATCCCCTCCATCTACAATTCCAGTTTCCATTCCCGTTCCGGCCTCCAACAAAGGCTGCGAAGGGCCATTCTCGTTCAATTGGCTTCGCAGCATGGCAGCGACAGTGATTTCGATGGCAGATTACGTAGTTCTATCCTCCTGAGATGCCTCCTTAAGCGGTAGTCTTGCGGTGTCCTCGATACTCAGTGGGGAAATTCATAGCGTGGAGTGTGCAGTTGGCAGAGAAAGGGCAGAGGAAGTGGGACAAATAGATGGTAGTGGATGACTCGGTTTGGAACGGAACGGTGGGTGTGAGTGTCTGATCCTGACGATGTTTTAAGATATTTTCAGGGGACCGTGGAGGACATGGGAGACGGGGGATGGGAAACTAATCAGGGTCGCAAGTTCGAAGTCACCAACTGCTTGGGAGCCTGACGGCAGACAGACGAAGCCGCGTGGGACGGCGGCATGTGGAGAAATGCCCTCATCGTACAAGGACAAGGTAGAAGGCCTGTGACGCTGCAAAAACGGCTCGGGTGGGCCTATCAAATTGCTTTCTGCCTGCCACGGTCGGCACGCACCCCCCTATCGTTTAGCGGATTCTCGGCAAGCCACCATATTTACGGTCACGCGCACCGTTCACTGCTCAGAACCTACTCGGTATCCACGAATTGATATAAAGTCTTCAATGCCATGGCGACGCCTGTAGAAAAAGCTATTTTTCGTCGGAAAACACATTCAGCAAACTCGATGGCGGGACTCAAGGAACAAGTGCAGACCTCAAAAGAGAGAGAGCAAGGAAATGTCGGGATTCGAGATCGGATACATCATTTCACCGTAGGCGACTGAAGCTACCTTCCTTTCTAATATATAGAAAATGACATTAACTTGGTCCCTTTTTACTTAGTGGGCGTGGTTTGCTGCGACCATGAGTACAGGAGGCATTGGACTCCTCCTAGCAAAAACACCACATCGGTTCCCTGGCATTAATACCGTAGGCGAAGTTATCTTCGTCTTTGATCTGGCGCTCTTTATATGCCTCTGTATCTCTATAGCAATCCGCTTCACGCTCTTTCGAAAAACTCTGAAATCCTCCCTAGCTCATCCTACCGAGTCCCTATTTTTTGCCACATTCTGGATTTCAATAACGAATATCATTTCCAATATCCAATGCTATGGTGTACCGAAAACCGGAAACTGGCTAATCGTTACCTTGCGTGTTGTATTCTGGATCTATGTTGCTCTTACGTTTATCGTGGCAGTCTGTCAATATTTCTTTCTGTTCACTGGCAAGCCATTAACCCCTCAATCTGCAATGCCTGCGTGGACTCTACCTGTGTTTCCAATCATGCTTGCTGGAAGTCTTGCATCACTCCTTGGACCCTCACAACCACCAGAGAAAGCGCTTCCGATGATGATAGCTGGAGTCACCTTTCAAGGACTTGGTCTTCTCATCGCTACATATGTTTATGGGATGTATATGAGCCGACTGATGTCAGCGGGTCTTCCAAGATCGAGCATGCGTGCTGGTATGTTCATTGCTGTTGGTCCACCGTCTTTTACAAGTCTTGCTTATCTAGGTATATCTGAAGATCTTGGCCGAATCTTTCCAGCACATGGCTCTATTTCCTCCATCTCTCATCCAGAAATGATTCCTGATATTTTTCGCATTGTCGCTGTATGTGTTGCACTGTTCCTATGGGCTACTGCTTTTTGGTTCTTCTGCATATCGGTTGTTAGTACAATATATGGTATCATGGTCGATGGCATGATTTTTCATCTTGTATGGTGGGCATTTGTGTTTCCAAATGTCGGTTTTACTATTTGCACCATTTCCATTGGGAATGCTTTGATGAGTGAGGGGATTCTATGGGTTGGTAGTGTAATGACGATACTGGTCATTGTGACTTGGATCTTTGTTGGCTTTGCACATATTCGGGCAGTTTGGAGGAGAGACATTCTATGGCCTGGAAAAGACGAAGATCATGATTCATGAGCAGGAGTTCTAATCCTGGTTCCCTCATTTCAATCTGCTATCAACGGGAGCCTCAACTTTACGAGTGGGTGAATGCCAGTACGCGAGTGTCCTATTCTCCTCAGAAGACTCATGTCGGCGAGCGCCAACCTCAAGAAACTCTTTGCAAGATCTCCCCTCCTCACGAATTCAACACAATACAATCCTGGTATTCGGACCTCGGAAATACACACCTCCAGCACGTAACGACCATGGAACACCCGCAACCTGCTCCAAAGAATGCTGCACTGCAGAGAACATGGGACAATATGTCGTTGCTTGACAGACAATCAACACCACCCACTTTCGGACTTGATGCAGGATTCGTATACTTCAAGTACCTTCCCCAGGAATTGCGACTTCATATTTGGGGCTGCGTTGATTTACCGCCCAAGTTCTACCACGGAGATAGGTATCGGGAGATGAGACCGTACGAGAGACCTCCGATACCCGCTGTCTTGCACGCATGTTCCGAATCCCGAGACGAATTCCTAGCAAAGGAGAATGTGAGAAAGAACCATCCAACTTATTGTCGAATCCCTCTCCAAGGCCCCGGCAACCCCCGCACAATGGTATTCTCCGAGCGAGATATGGTAGAGCCCTTGCGCGACAACCTCCCGGAGGGAAAAACATTCTTCAACAATCGTAAGTTGCAACCTATTAAAGTGATATTCAAAAGATTGACATACTGTCTAGCTGAATTCCGCTTCATGTTGAGCAAAATTCGATATCTTCGCCTCAAAGACCATGATGTTGAGAATTGGTTGGATGGGTTACACAACATGACAAGTCTGCACGGCATTTCTCTTGAGCAATTCGATACTTTTGATCCAGCTCACCAATATCGTCATTTGCTTGGGGAGTTTGAATATACGGATGAGGAGATCCAACGTATTGAGGATAGATACAAGCAGTGTTTCCCTGGGAAGAAGCTTAAGCTTCTCGCCAGGAATCTTATTATAGTTGCGTGGTCGTCGTGCAAAGAAGCTCTGAATGGTAGCTGACTGCCCTACTGGCGAATATATTGATTAAGGGATACCGTTAGTTAGAGGCCTAGTTTGCATTTGAGAATTAGTAGTGCCGTGGCTCAGTGGCTATATTTGGTCACGAAATTGAACAAACACCAAATAGAAAGTACTCATTGCAGACATATAACCCCGCGGAATCACCAAGTCAAAGACCGTGAAATGTCTCCGTAACCCAATGGAAAAAAACCACTAGATTTATGTCGCGGCATGTTTAATAAGCCAAATATCATCAAGCTCAAACCCGGGTACAAGTGCGTTGTATGTAAACCACCATGGTCAGACCACGGTCCCACTCTTCACACATTTTCCTCCTTATGTGCGGATTTCTGACATTACATTCGTTCGTATTTTGTGCCATTTTCAGCATATAGACCTCACCTTCGAATCATCAGGTAGTTTGTGTAGAACTTGAAAAAATACAGAAGTGGTTGCTGAGGAGTAGGTGATGTTTACTTTACTTGTTGACTTCCACTTTAGTATTTATCCGGTATGATTCTAGCAATTAATATAGGAGCATATGCTAGAGCCATATAACCCTGGCTCCTGCCCAAAGTACAGTGGCTAGCTAGTCAGCCATCGCAATATAACTCCCTTTCCCATCATCCTAGCACACTCGGTACTCTACACACATACTCTCTTCAACGAATTCCAATTCAGCCTGTTTATCGCATCCACTTATATCTACTTTACGTGTACGTTTCTTTTGAGACTATACTCTGGAAGAGATAAAGGGGTGGTAACAAGGTACCAGTAGTATAAATCAGGACTTACCTGTACAATCAGGGGCATCAGATAATGTAGATCCGCGAGTTAACCTATTTACCATTCCCTGGTCTGTTTCACCAATGACCCTATACAATTGATAAGGCTTGACAAGTACAAGGTTGTCGTTACCATTTGCTTGTTCTGGCCGTAGTACCCCAAAGACCTCATTATGGGCGATACGGGCTATAGCAAAGAACTAACTCCAAGTTGGAGGGTAGCGAGAAAAAAAAATATTTAAGCGATCTGTCTATCCGCGTTATATTCATCATCTGCTGAAACGGCGTCGAGTTGATATCTGTTAACACTACGGTTTCACCACCATCCCTCCCTATTGTTACGGTATGGGTTTGTTAGGCAGTGAGAGCTACGTCTACAACTTCTCCACAAGCGGGCAATTGACGAGCTGTCTCCCGATCAAAAGCCTCCCGAAGGCGAAAAATGTATCTTTCAAATTGGAGAGTGATGCCTCGCCCACGTCCTTATATAAATTTAACTGCCTCGCTAAGCCAGGCGACGCTAATTTAACAACGTAGTCATGGATTTCTGGTACTTGGATAACAAATACGGTATTTCTAGAAACGGGATTTAGTATTACTACTATAAGAGCTTTATCGTAGGCATTAAGGGTTGTCTCTACTACACTTATAGCCGTAGCTACTTAACCTTCTTGTCGTCTAATAATTATATGTTTTGTACTTATCCGCCCTTTTTCAATAGCTATATCGTTAACCTAGCCCTTAGAAATTACTATTAACCCTTCCTCGAAGCCTATAAGACTATCCTGAATTCCTTCAAAGAGTATCTTTATAGTTGTCTAGTATAGACTAAGTAGACGCCGGTAAGTATAATATAGCCATAAGGATTAAGTATATCTAAACGAAACATAAGAATAATAATAAAGTAAGAAATACTATATCTTTCTCGTAAGTTAGTTATTATTGTTATCTTATATTGGACTTTTTATATAATATACTTTACTTAATATATTTACGCTAATAATATCTTTTATTTAGAAATAATCTATGTCCCAATGGTGAAAGCAAGGAAGCAAAGAATTGCGATCAGTCTTCAATACCCTCTGGCTCGCGGCCAGCAGGCAATTGACGAGATGTCTCCTGATCGAATGCTTCACGAAGAAGCCTTAATTAAACATATCTCCCATATCGGGGAGCCTCCACACACTCGAAACCCAGACCCGGGACATTTTCATATAGCGTATCGCCGATATGGTACCAGCGGTGGAGAGACATCTGGGCTTCCCAAATCAGGTTCCGATAGTTGAACAATTCATATCGTCTACGCTCGCACCCATCCCATCCCAAGCAACAATTGCCTGGGCCTGGATATCTTCGTTTGGTCTGTTTAAGCGAATGTTTTGGGATATAATACCATCCGCACCCTTTTGCTTGAATTTAACAAAACTACCGCGTTTGTCGCAGTAGTTAAACTTTAGACGAGTAGGATCATGGCTGATTTTACAGTAGACTACTGGAGCACGGTTTATACTATAAGGACTCCCGGCGGGAGTACATAAAGGGGGTCAAATATTACCGATAAGAATCCTAATTTTAAATGCCCCCCCCTATAATTCTCTTTGTTCAAACTTTTTATATAATTTAATTTAATTAACATCTTTACGCTAATGATATCTTTTATATAAAAGATAATCTATATCTACTATTTACATAAGTCCTCTTTTACTAAATACCTTTCTGAGGCTTTTTGTGACGGTTCTAACCGTCACCACCATTCGGATCACGTGGTCTCGCTTAGCGACCCACACCAAGTATTTAGATCGAAGCTCTCTCGAGCTCTCCTCTTCTCCTCAGCTTAGAATCTTTGTTTAATTGACAGTTCTACGATTCCACAACCTACACCGTGGGCCTTGCGTACGTGTCGTCACATTATTCTAAGCTCTCACACACTGCCTGGGAAGGCATACTGGATATCCCTTCCTCTCTATCCGTCGCGGTAGAAGGACCCCACGATCCTCAACTGCCTAGCCGCAGAGCTTTTCAAAAGGAG